GTTAAAGACATCATATTATAGTGATCCACACAGACTCGTGTTTAGAACAGCACAGCTCACAATAGCTGAATCCTGGGAGCAGCTAAGATATCTGTTAATGGGTAGTGGATAAAGAATGTGTGTCATTTATATGCAGTGAGTACTAGCCTGCCATCGATGGATAAATTTGAGTCATTTGTAGATAAATAGATGGATCTTGAGACCATAATGTTAATTATAGTAAATCAAACATACCAGCTTAAATATAGCATAAATGCCTTCTATGAAAAACCCAAAGTATAAACAATCTAAAGAGCAAAAGAAAAGATAGATGATGGAAAATAGGGGGACAGATCTTGATAAATAGGAAGGGAGTTTTGATATTGAAGGAGAAGGAAGGGAGAGGAAAATGAATATAAAGAAATAAGATACATTATGGATATACCTCTACCCTCCACAATGAAGATCATCATTATGTACTCACAACACACACTGACAACAACAACAAAAAATCATGACCCTCAGTGGGCTGGATTTAATACTCCTGTGATCCCAGCATGTTGTGAGGCTGAGGCAGGAGGATCATGATTTCAAGCCCAGTCTAGTCAATTTAGAGACTTGGTGAGAGCCTCTCTTTTAAAACAATGGTCTGGGAATTTAGCTGTCATACACACAAGCAAACACGACCGTCATACCCCAAGCACACTTTTGGTAGAGCACATATTACATATTTCTACCTCAGTCATAATCCCACAGACCAGATGCCTACCTTGTGCCTACCCATTTCCCCTCAAACGTCTAGCTTCTACCTACTCACCCATGCCTGAACTCAGGCAATCTGCCTTTGCTTTTGTTTTTATGGATGAAATTTGCCTGTCTCCACTGAGGCCAAATCCAGCAACAATTCTTCCTTCTACTTTTTGCATAGCCAATTTTCCCTCTTTATTGTTTAATCCCTACTAGTGTACAGGCATACTCTATGTTGCCCAATTTAAACACAAACAACAAATTAAACTCCTCCTTGGGGACGCTTCCTCAGAACATGCTTCACTTCTCCGTTCACCTGCGCTGTCAAAGGGCTGTAAAGAGCAGTCTCAATTTGCTCTTTCATTCCCTTCTTCCTGTTTCCCTCCCTAATCAAGCTTTCTCCTACAAAACTGCTGTAGCTGTTCTCGTCAAGGGTGCAAAGACCTCCCCACTGCAAAATTCAATTCTCAGTGTCCGTGCTCATCTCATTTGGCATAGGGTTAAATAAACTGGAACAGTTATCCGTTGGCTTTGAAGTCATCATTTTCTCATTGCTGTTCACCCTCTCAGTGGCTCTGTAATTCCCTCTTGTGGCTCTATGTCCTCCCTACCTCTAAATTTTGAATTTCTCTAGAACTCAGTATTGGAGTCTCTGCTTCTCTACTTAGAGTTAATTTGTTGATGAGTTGATTCAGTGCCAGACATAAAAAACAACTCATATTTCTGTCTTTTGACTAATAGTCCCCCCTTTGAGTCTAAACTCATACATGCAACTGAATGTATACATATACATATGTATATACAGTCTTTTTTGTTTCAGTAAATAGCAACTCCATCCTTATACTTACATGGACCAAAAGCCATGCAGTGATCTTTGATTTTTGTCTTTGTCATACTTGCTGTTAACTCTCCAGCAAATCAGACTGATCTGAGTGGTCGAGTAGCTTATATCAGAACAACCCTCCCACAGACAGAAACTATCAACTCTGGACAAAATGTAAGAGACAACCCCTTGAAGGCCTTTAAGACTTAATAAAATTAAGCTAGATCCTGGACAAGTCATTTAGGAGGAAGGAAGGATGTGGAGAAAGTTTTCCATCTTTTAAAATATAAATATTTAGTATATAATATATGCAATATTATATATTATACACACATAGATGTGTGGATCTTATCTGTATATTAAGAAATTTTGATGACTTCCTTGCCTGAAGAGTAGTATGGCATAATACAGGGCAACCAGTGTTTAATTGGTATTGTTTTCTAACAAATTCCCCCAAATTCAGTGGTTTAAAATAACTCTGACATTTTATCTTACAGCATCTTATGGATCAGGAGGCCAGTACAGATTTTTCCTTTGTTTCAAATTCTGCTGAAATCAAATCTGCGATCAGACTTAAGGTTCAGAGATCTCTTCCAAGATCACTGGTTGTTAGGAGACCTTATTTCCCTGAGCTTGTATGACTCACGTGTTGCCAAGTATTGTCCAAGAATGACCCTCAGCTTTCAGAGGATGTTCACAGGTGCCTTCCACATGACCCCAATGAGGAGGTCACAACATGGCCATTTGCTTTTTTCCTGCCCAGCATGAGCATGTGTCTCAGGTTGCTTCCTCTTACTAGCTAGACAACATTCCTTGCATTTAAAGGGTTCAGCTAACTAGGTCAGTCCCAAACAGGCCGAGCTTCACTTGCCATATGATGAAATGTAATCATGGGAGTAATATCTCACAAAGTCCACATGTTTTGTTAACACACATGCATGAACTCCAGGGGATGAGAATCTTAGCAGCCCACTTAGAGTTCAGTACTGATGTATAGATTCTAGGAAGCAACAGAGATGCTGGAGAAAGAAAGCCTAGAATCTGAGTGTCATTCCACCTAAGTCTCTGCTCCATCCCCTGACCTGGCTGTCCTCTTTAATCTGTGTCTGTAGATGTGCTGTTGTAGGCAACTCGATTTCCTAAATTCATTCAAAATGTTTGCTTTCCATGGCCATTTTGACTTGGGAGATGAAACACAAGTCACAAGATGCCAGATCTGGTCAATAAGGTGGACAAGGACAAATCGTAATGCTTTTCCAAGCCTGTGTTTCCTTGGGAAGGAATACAGCTGCCACATTCACCATACTTTTTGATCACACCTTGTAAAGATGTTCAGGAAAGAAGAACTTCGGAACTGCTTCAGAAAGTGATATGAATGATGGGCGTGTCTGAGGGGGTGTGTTTTGAAGGGGTTAATGGCTATGTGTATTTTACCATAGTAAATTTTTCTATTTAAACACATACCACCTTGCTCATTCAAGTCTTGTTCACATGTGTGGGACTTACTCTAAGTAGCTCAAGCAGGACTACAGAGAAGGAACAGAGACTGGCTTTGCTGCCTATGCTGTTCTTAGTATTTTCTCAGACTGCATTATCTACCAGTTATCCACAGCCTATGGAAATCCCCTGTCCTCTGCTAGGTCCAATTTACTAGCCATGTCTTTCTTGAGTCCACAAAATAATTTTTCACCATTAGTTAGACTGACTTCATTCTTCCTTGTGTTATAGCTCGGCATTGACATAACTATCCCCCTCACTAAAAAGTACTTTAAGGAAAAACATTGTTTATTTACTCTTGCACATCTAGATTGTTCATTTGAGCTGAGATTTGCTAAAATGAATTGCACCAAGATAACAAAAAATTCATCCAAAATCTGCCTACTTCTCATCCCTCTTGGAGTCCCAATGTCTCTTGCTTTTGTCTTCTATGTTTTCTAGTTTCTTTTCTAATTTAGTAGTGTGTCCCCAGTGCAGTAGTCAACAGGATCTTTTAAGCGTGTACTTCAGATCACCTAATGCCACTCAAAAACCCCACAATTACTTCCTGTCTTATTTGATAAAGAACCAAAGACCTTGCATTCGTCTTGAAGGTGAACCTGTCGCCTCTGTTACTCTCCGACCTACTCTTCCTCGCACCCTGTCCAGTGTGGCCGCGCCAGCCTCCTCGCATCAAGCCTCCCATGAGCTGCAGACTCTACACTCGCCCTTCTCCCCTCCCGGCCAAAGGCTCTTGGCGTCTTTCCCTTCTGTACGTCTCTGTTCCAGTGATACTGTATTGGAGAGTGTTTTCCCCACGCTAATGCTATCTCCTTTTCTTGTTTTATTTATTTACTTATTCCATAGCATCATTTACTACCAAATGTCTTAATACTTCTCTTTGTTTTTGTTTAACGCTTATATCCATTCATAGAACATACACCCATGAAGGCAGGGGCTTGTCACTACTCTAGCTGGCGTGCCATGAGCGGTGCCTTGCATACAGAAGGGACCTGTATTTGCATAAAAGACTTGTTGAACCAATGAGAGAATTAATGAGGTGATGTTTTCTTTATGCTTTCTTCTGTTTGCAAACTATCATGTGGCAAAGATAGAAGGCTTCATGACAGTCTGCCTCCTACATTTTGAAATCAGCCAAGGAATACACTGTAAGTGAAGGGTCATTTCTGAACTAAAATATACATGGTGTTACCATTTCATTGTGAGATTGAAAAAGCATAAAAATAATGGTAAAATTTAACATTTACTGAACATTTAGAGCATCTCATTTAACTCTCACAATGCTCTGTCCTGCAGAAATTTATTATTATTTCTATTTCACACATGAAAAAGCAGAAAATAAGAAAGCTAAAATATGTTTTGAAGATAGTATAATCAGTAAACAAGAGAGCTAACTTCAAAGCTACACGGAACCTATGATTTTAATGTTCTTTCATATTCTCTCCCCGAGTGTGGCATCTAAATCTTTTAGGAACAAAATAATTCAGTTGCAATTGTGTAAAAGTCAGTGCCTGAGATTAGCTTGTGCATTCTAGAAAGAGTCTAGAATGCAAAATAAAAACCTCAGTGAAACCCTAGTACCTGTGTGACTTTGCTGCTTTACTAACCACTCTGAGCTTCAGTTTCCTTAGCCTTACATGGGCTAGCAGAATTTAGAGAGCTCACTAACATGATGTTTGCTGAAAAACAGTACAAACTATAGAGTGTTTCACAAAGTAACTTAAATGCTGTAGGAATCTGTACTAAGGGCTGTGCCTTAGATGTGAACCCACTGAATTTCATTTTAAACTCTGTGAAAAGTAAGGATGTCAGCCATTTCCTGGAGTCTTGTGAGAGCGCCAACATGTTCATTGAAAAGCAGAAATCATCAAAATGCCTCGGGATCTGTACATACTACAGCCATGAATAATACATGCCAGTATTATGATGGCATTGCCCTCTCCTTTCTTTTTAGGTGGATGTCTAATTCTCTTTGCCATCCTGCATCAGCTGGTGGCAACCTGCCCTCCGTCTTGTGTGGTGTGCACCAAAGATGTGACCCTCTGTCAGCAGCTACCCTATATCTTAGGTAATAAAACTAATAAGTCTAGTAATCAGTGTTCAGTGTAGCTGGAAAATCCATGGCTATGCCTTTCATTGTGCAGACTGAAGAGGTAACCTTTTAAAGAGCAGGACTAGACACTGAGTGAGGACACTGCCAATATTATTTTGTTTTTCTGTGCCTGCTGGACTTGATCAAAATGATTTAAAAAGCTTCAGAGGTAATTGAGGTACATTTATTGCAAAAATATTACTGTTTCATGTAGGCACATGATTTTTAAAGTGAAAAAAGATAGATTCATCCAATTTTTGTCCATAGTTTGCATAGATTTGAACCCTACCACTCTCTGAAAGAAATACAAGTGAATCAGAAACCTGAACGACAATTGTTCAACATTAGTAAGATTAAGTGATGTACCAGTGAAACAGATTATTATCAAACTGCATCTCATTTTGAAAGTCTGGTCTTTTTTTATTGGTGGTAAATGAGCTGTAGAAATGCTAACAAGATTCGCTGCCTGTATTCATTACATATTGCTTGCTTAAGTCAACAATTTAATAAGACACCTTATTAACAAATTTGAGGAGAATGTGATTTACATCCTGATATTCAGGAAGAGATAAACAAGCTATAAGCTCTGCCAATGGAAAATTTTCAGAAACAAAACCGAGTTAAGAAAAAGTAGGAGAAGATAATTACTTTCATTTCTAAAATCCCAAGACTCTATGAGAAATAAGGGGTAGATACTATCATCATTCCTGACAGGAAAAAGATTTCAAGGCTAGTTTCATGAATATACTATTCTCCATCATATTGACGACATTTTAATGCTAAAACTCTTATTCTCTAACATGGGTTTCCTGACTTCACTAAATTTTGTGTGTATATGTGACCAGAGAGACTTGCTATCTATAAGAAATAAACGTTTCTCAAATACATTGCCACACCTCTATAAACTCCTCATTCACAGAATGTCATGTGTGAAGTTATATTTCGTAAACACCGAGAAGTAAATGGATGACTTGTGAGCAGCATTTCTGTTCACTTTTAGACAAGAAGTAATTGACAGAATAATAGCCTGCTCATTCAGAGTCTACAAATCCCTAAAGGAACGGGGACGCATAGAAACAAAACTCCTCCAGCTCATATCAGAAACAATGACGAGGAGAACGAAATGCCAAACTGGCCAGAATTAATAGAATTCAAATGATCAATAATAAATGCTAAGAAAAAAACCAAAAACCCAAACAAAATAACCCTGATTTAAGCTTGCTTGTGCTGCAGGGATAGAAGCAATTTTTCTAAAAGAAGCTACTCTGAGATGCCTTTGTGCTTTACACTTTTTTTTATCTCTTTGTTTCAGCTATGCAGTCTGAATTTCCTAAGGGGATAGTGAGTTGCTTCCCCCATGGTTCACTGTTCTAATATCACCTGTAGACCTCCCAGGGACAATGGACTTCTCCATTCTAATGACACTGTCATTTGCAGTCAAAACAATTTTAGCATGATAAAGATGTGTTACAATAACTCCTGATTATAATACATCTTTATTGAGTTAAAATGCTTTGATTTCTAATGACAGAGCAGTGATAGCTCTGAGGTGATTATGGTGAAGGGATTTAACAGTTGGAGGCCCTGAATACCACCTGTCATCTCATGATGGACTTCATTGGAGGGAACACATATAAGACAGGAGGCCAAGGTGGCCCAGACTATAATGAGAACCCCACTGACAGATCCTCGGCTTGTCTGGAGAGAATATAGATGCTTACCAAGTTGCCAACTTTTAGCCTGGAGCTAAAAAGCAGAAACCAACGCTCCTTCTCACCCGCCTCCCTCCTTCATGTTTGAGAGAAAGGATGACTGACTTCATGGCACAAATACACATCGCTAGCGGAAAACCGGTTAGGAGGCTCTGACCACGGCTCTGCTCTTCATGGGTTTGTGTGGGAACAGCAGAGTTGGATCAGGACAGGACACAGCCTCAGGGGGAGGAAACCTGAAAGTCCACCTTCAACATAGCATCAAGGGGGATAATCCCAAGCAATGAATTAACTTTGACATCTAAAGGAACAGATGGGTCTGTGTGTCTCAAACAAATATGTCACAGTAATAAAGAATATATTAAGTCACCATTCTGATAGACTGCCAGCTTCCTCTTATGTTTAGAAATCAGAGGGTCATTTTCATTTTGTTTGTTTTTCTTAGCCAGGTGAAGAGATTAGGGCTTTGAGGGCTTTCATTCCCTCTATTGTCCACCAGACCCCTTCCCGCTCCTGTGTAGCCCACTTTTAGCATGTTCTTTTCTCCCTGCAGCAGTCCCCACGACCACGAGGGTTTTGATAATCACCGATGGACACCTCTCCTCTGTAGAGAGTGCAAATTTGTCTCTTTTGTTTAATCTTGCCCTGCTCTCCCTGAGCAGAAACGGTATCAAGGACATTCAAGGTGAGGCCCTGTATGGGCTGACTCAGTTGAGGACGTTGTTGTTGGGGCACAACTGCATATCCAGCTCCTCTCTGGCTGACAACACCTTCAGCAAGCTCCTCCACCTGCAGGTGCTGGTGCTCAGCAACAATGCTCTGCGCACCTTGCGAGGAGCCTGGTTCCGAGACACCAGGGCCCTGACCCGGCTCCAGCTGGACGGCAATCAGATTACTAATCTCACAAACAGTTCTTTTGGAGGCGCGGATCTCCACAGTCTCAGGCACCTGGATTTATCTAACAATTTCATCTCCTACATTGAGAAAGATGCTTTCTGGCCCCTGCCTCAACTACAGGAAGTGGACCTTTCTCGAAATAGGTTGGCCCATATGCCGGATGTTTTTACTCCGCTGAAGCAGTTAAGCCTTCTGAGCTTAGATAAGAACCAGTGGAGTTGCACCTGTGATCTGCAGCCATTGGCCCACTTTTTAAGGAACTACATCAAGTCTTCTGCTCACACATTGAGAAACACCATGGACATACACTGCCAGCCATCCCTTCCATCTGCGGCTGCCAAAAGCGTGCTGAGGCTGTCTGAGACCAACTGTGACTCCAAGGCTCCCAACCTCACTCTGGTTCTGAAGGACAGGCGTCCTCTCCTCCCAGGGCAGGATGTGGCCCTGCTGACGGTGCTTGGCTTTGCAGGTATGTTAAGAAGAAGTTTGCCCTCCTCATCTCCTGTCTTGTGTCCATGTTTGTGAGCCCACTAAATGATGCCTTTCTCAGGGAACTGGGAGGAATTTGCAAGGATTATGGATGGGAGAAGTTGACAGCTCATGTGGGAGGATGTTAGCCCAGTTGGCACAAATCTCGAGAAGTTCTATTTCAGGGAAGCTGTCTAATATGATGGAATGAGCCTGGAATTCAAGAGCTCCAGTTCTGATATGATTAACATCACAATCTTGAGTAAGTTGTTATGTAGACTTCAGTTTTCTTGTTCGTAGTGGAGCAATATTATCTGTACTTGATCAATCATAGGTTTCCTAAAGAGTACTGGAACATTTAATATGACCATAGAACATAAGTATTAAAAACTTATCAGACACAGATATTTTCCTCAAGACCTTCACATTTTTGTCCCTTTCCATGGTGCAATAATAGACAGTGAGCTTTCTAGATCCATGAGAGGATGCTACTATAATAATCACATGCCTCCTAATCTGCTGTGCTTGCATAGCTCAGTAGGAAAGTGCTTGAGTTTCGGAGTGGAACCACCCCAGTTTGAATTCAGCTTTGCTCCCACAAGCTGTCTAACCTGCTGCATGTTATTTAACCTCTGTGGGCCTTAGTTTTTCTTCTGTTTAAGGGTTCTGGTTTCTTTGAGAACATTTGTTTATTTTACTTTTTAAAAAGCTAGTCCCCATGCTTCCCCCAGACAACCTAAGGAAAGGATAATATTCAACCTTAAGTATTTTTGAATAATAATTTAGAACCTATGCTTTGGGTGTCATTCAATCTCACGAGATGAAAGATATCAAGTGATGTCATTAGTTGAAGAGCAAATATGCACAAGAATTCTTGAGTTATGTAGCTCTGAGTACATAATAAAACCAACTTGTGATGATGGTGATAATGGTGGTGGTGGTGGTGATGTGTGTGTGTGTGTGTGTGTGTGTGTGCGTGTTTAAGTTTGGAAGGCCAGAGACCCACAGATGACACCTAGTACTGAAGTGATGCATGTTGAATATATGGTATAAATCATTACTCAATAACAAATTACTGGTGAATTAGTTAATTTACTCAATAGTGAGTTGCTTTTGAATTACATGAACATCAGGTTTTTGACTCCTGACAGTTGTAGTGTTAATCAGGATAGATAGAGACCACCATTTGTTCTAGACAACAGAACTACCACTAGCAGTAATCAAACTAACTTGAAAGAGAATTTCAATTTATCTCAGTAAGATAAGTGGTTTTAAAATCCATGTAACCATGTTAGTAATTATATGTGTTGAGAAATAACTTACCATAAATGACGGAAGTGATACAGTAGTGGTTTAGCTTTAAACCTGCTTCTTCGAATACTGGTACTAGGGGATAATTAGTAGATATTCTGATAAAAACACAGAAGAACACAAGATACTTAAACGATAGACTCTGGAGATCAGCTAGGTTTGGAGAATGCTAGGTTAAGCAACATAAAACAGGCTTATTGTCTGCAGTACTTCACCTATGCTTTCTTATTCTAATGAGCATGTATTTTAGTAAGGTATAATGTGGAGCATTTCTCAATCTTAATTCATCATGAACCTTTTTTGTTCATAGAGGATTCCATTGAATTAATGTTCCCCATGACATCATGTTGAAAATATTACAATAGTAGGATAATTTTTAGTATCCTTTACATTTTTAGAAATATATATTCAGAAGCATATTTTTCTAAGGTAAGTTACTAATTACTATAGAGACAGATACAAATTCTGAAGATTCCAACAGTTTTAGAAAGTTTAATACACACAGGGAATTTCTGATAAATTATCCATATGATTATAGGTATGTTGAGTGTTCGTGTGTAAAGCAATCATACTAAATACTTTTCATTGGCTAATTATTCAATATACTGTTTTGAGAGAACATTCTTCTTTAAAAAGATTGATGTTATACCAATTTGTTCCTTTAAAATTCACCTCTTTCTGAATAAATATGGTGGATTTTGTGTACCTCTAGCTTGTAGAAAAAAGAGTTATAAATTTTGCCTACGATTACTCTTGGCTCTTCAGCCATAAATAAGCCACAACAATTAAAATAATTATTAATAATTATATGTACAGTACTTAAAACTAATCAGTAGATATTTTGTGCCAAACACTAAGATCTCACATTTCTTACTCTGTGACCTGGTGGACAGAAAGTTTTCATGAAGCTGCCATATGTGTTTAGTGTTTTTATAAGAAGTTTCCAGTTAATTTGCCTTTTTTGTTCTGACCAACTCAGAAAGATTATGAAAACACTTGTGAAAATGGAAACTGCCCACAGCAATGAAAATTCAAACATCTTAAGAGCATTTCCAGTCTGTTTACAAGCTCTATTTGCACCTTTTGCTCTTTGCTTTCATCTAATATATTGGATGCTGCTTTATATCCAGCCTCAATAGTTGGAGAGTGAGCACGTCCTTCCCACTTAGAAACAACCACAGGAGAAGCTACCCTTTCACTAGGTTATGCTGACACTCACATTGCTGGCTAATGGGCAGCTTTAGGATACACAGGTCTTTCTTTCCTTTTACTTGCTTTAGTAATTCATCAGCCATAAAAATATTCTCTGCATGATTTGTTTTTGAGCTTTTTTCCCCTAAGAGTCAACCTATTTCAGCCATACAAATCCTAAGGCATAGCACCAGCTAAAGGGTTATGATTTGCATCTTCAAGGTTCCCTAAAGGCTCATGGGCTAAAAGGCTGGTCACCAGCTTGTAGTGCGACTGAGAGTTTGTGGGACCTTTAGGATTAATGGAAGTGAAGCCACCGAGGAGGGTAGGTTCTGTCCCTGGCTCCTTCTTGTTCTTTGCTTTCCTGCTACCATGAGGTGAGTGGCTTTGCTCTACCGTGTGCTTAATGGTATGATGGGTGTGATGGGATCTCACTTCAGGCCCCAAAACAATGGAACCAATTGATTATTGGTAGAACTCTCTGAAATCATAAGCCTAAATAAACCTTTCTTTTCTTATATGTTGATCTTCTCAAGGACTTTGTCACAATGACAGCAAACTAACACAACCATAATCATAAACACCACAATGATCATTCACAGAATTTTACTACATATATCAAAGCAATTGTGTTCCACAAATCACATATATTATCTCACTTAATCTCTGGGTGGTATTAATTATCACCACTTGAGGAAAGATGAAAAATAAGGTTCAGAGATATTAAACACACTCAGTAGGAAACTCAGAAACTCAGTCCTGAATTTTCTTATTCCATGTAACAGATAAGGAATGTTAAGATTTATTTTCCTCATACATTTTTAATGTGTTAAACCCAAGTCCCCAGTAGAGAGGGTAGATAGGATCAAAGTGCATTAAATGCATTTATGCAGATGCTGTGAAGAAATCCATTTATTTTTATGATTAACATATGCTAATAACTATAGTAATAATAAAAAAAGAGCTAAGAATAGGAAGTATCTCCTTCACTTTTTCCTGCCTTCTCCTGAAAATAAAATAAAATAATGATAACAAACACAAATCTTTGGAATAACTCATATACTGTGATCTGACAATAAAATGGTATGATATCGTTTTTGGTACAAATTCAAGATAATATTATCATTAAGAGAGATTAAACTATTTGAAGATGTTACGGTACTTTCTGAGACTGCCCTGTCAAATAAATTAAGTTTATAATGTCTCATGTTCTGATATACCATACAGTGTTTGAAATGTTTTACCAGAAACTGCTCTTTTCTTTACTTTACCTTTAACTGAAAACTGAAACAGTCATGCCCGACACTCTCCCTTTTCTTTAAGTTCAAACTATCACATTTTCATGAACATTGCCACCAGCGGAGAGAACCAGACATGCTGCACCTGACTGATGTACCTAGAATGCTGGATCCTCCCATCCACTGTTGATACTTCCAGAGGAGGGAGCTGACTGGTCCAAAGTCAGAACTGGAGTGTGGGAAGACCTGGGTCGAATGCAGAGATCCTTATTCAATCTGTACTGACTTTGATCTTGATGACCACAATTTTTGGACTTCCAAGATTACAGGACTCTGTTGTCACTATCAGAATTTATAACCAGAATTCTTCCTATTATTTAAGAATCATCAACAAACTTTTCCAGAGCACCTTCTTTGTGATAGAGTTGTGGGCACCGGGAATAGGCTGCTGAACCAGACTGAAAACGTTTGTTCCTGCATTGTAGTTAATTTGGGCAGCGAGGACAGTGAACCAGCAAGTTAATGAACAAAACACTATCCTGTTATAAATGCTGAGAAATGAAATCACTGTGATAGGCGGTGGAGATATGACTAGCAGAGTTTGGCTTGAAATTTCTAGGTGGAAAGAAGTGAGGCAGGAGGAGAGGACAGTCCACAGCTGGGCTCGAGAAACACCATCCCTTACAGTTCTCCTCAGAGGACAAGTGACGCTTACATAGCATGTGAAATGACAGTACCAGGCCAACTGGGATCGGATGCTGTTCATCTTTTCAGGGCAGTCCCCCAGATCTCTGCAGGAGGGAAGAAACAGCAAAAGCATCAAGGAATTTGGAGGCACTGATTTAAATATTAAAAAATAAATAAAATTTAAATAAGCAGAGACAGGAGAAGGTATTTCAAGCATTACTAAGCTCATCCACAAAGGCTACAAAGTATGTTTTAACACTAATAATGAATTAAATAGTTTGAAATATAGTGTTTGAATGAAGAGAATAAGGAAAATAAGGCTAGGTAAGGAGCTAATAACAAGAATGTATTGAATCTTGAATGCTAAAGACTTTGGCCTTTTGGACAATGGGAAGCCAAGGAGCTGGGGTAATGGTAATCTTCAGGGAATGATTAAAATACGGCAATAGCATGTAGGGTCAATTGATCTTTTAGGGGGATAAGGTTTGGCTATATGAGATTCTCAGTCTTTTTAAATTAACTATGATATTAAGGAATAGGAAAATGGGAATTAAACTGGTTTACCATAGTCAGAAAAATAAATTTAATGCAGGAATTATTTGTTCTTGAATGAATTTCAGTCTTGGAAAAGCACTTTTTTTTCTACTAAAAAGATTCCAGGTGGTGTTGTTAAATAGATAGATAGATAGATAGATAGATAGATAGATAATGAAGGCAGAGTAATGTCAATTAAAATGTCTGACCCACCACTGTTCCAAATGGTGATGGACTTCCTACCCATTCTCATGCTGTTGAAGCCATAAACCTACGTATTTGTGGATTTCATGTTTGGTGATTTATACGTTCTTTCCTACGATGTTATCATTTAATGGTTTCTCTATTTGTCACAGGAGCTGTTGGTCTCACTTGTCTAGGTTTAGTTATATTTAACTGGAAACTCCGACAAGGCAAAGCAAATGAACACACATCAGAAAACCTTTGTTGCAGAACCTTCCATGAATCCCTGTGTGCTCATGAAGCAAGAAATTACCACTCTAAAGGATACTGTAGCTGCCACTTAACTCAGGAAAACGAGATAAAGGTCATGTCCATTGTGGGACCTGGAAAGGAAATGCCACTTTTACAGGAAAACAGCCATCAAGCAACATTGGCCTCTGAGTCCGCAGCCCTTGATGGATCATTTCGAAACCTGAAAGGGAAAGACCGAGGGGTAGACAGTGCTTTCTTGTGCCTGGATAGTAGATTGCTGCAGTCGGGATGCTCAGAGCCTCCTGGGAAAAGGGCAGCTTTTAACGATGCAGGTTTAGTTACAAGATACTGTCCAACGAGCGTTGAAAAGCTGAGGAGTCTTAAGCATGGAGCAGTCCAATCTCAAACACTGCCACAGCTTGTCACAAGAACAATAGGTGAGTTTGTCTTATTTCAGAAAATTCTTCTCTATTTAATTCCCTCTGAAGGAGGAAATCTCTTTAATTTCCTCAACAAGGAAGTGCTGTAAAAATCACTAAAGCACCACTCTATTCCTCTTCTGCAGCTCTAAAGATTGCTTCTCTCTCTCTCTCTCTCTCTCTGTGTATATGTGTGTGTGTGTGTGTGTGTGTGTGTGTGTGTGTGTTGAGGTGTAGATGATGTGTCTGTACCTCAGGAATTGAAAGTGCATCTCCTGTCTACTGAAAGAGAATTTTGAGGCCCAACACCTAACAATGTTGAAAAAAAAGAAAGAATCCCTTTAAATAGCAATATCACTGTGAAGATTTATGGGAGGGTGAGTATCAGCTTTCATTCCAACATCCTTCGAGCACTAATGCCAATTCTGCAGTAAGCAACCTTCCCAGAGCATGACAAGTTAGAAGAATGGGCCTTCTAGTGCTAGTGATTCATTTCAGGAATGATGTCAAGAAACATACTTTGCTTGCTGAGCTGTCAAGGATGATAACTTCCCAGTTCAGGGAAAGTCAGGACTTAATTCATTGTCCTATGTTGGGAGCCAAGTGAATCTGGCCGTGACATCTACCCACTGTACATGGGCGATGTCAATATGTACGTGGAGGCAATGAATTAAATGTCTTCCTTTCTCTTTCTGCATAGTAAGCCAATGCTTTCAGGTTCAACAGTGAACACTCTGACAGCTGCTCTGTAAAGAGGCTCCTGTCACTTATCCAATTGGTTTACAACACACGCGGAGCTTTCTCTCAGAACATGAATGACAGAGGTGCTGCATCAAGAAATTCTTACCTTGGGGATCTGGCCCCAAGGGTAAATTTGGGGACACCTGGAGAGGAATGAACCTATGCTCTTTGATGTGTGGTATAAGGCACGATGCAAATTTATTTAATTGTATTCCTCACACTTCAGTACTTGCCCGTTCTGGGGGCTGGTGATTTGACTAAAGTGAGAGATGGCCGAGGAAAGAAACACCTGCTATAAAATCAGAGAGTATTGGTTTTATTTTATAAAGAAATAAGCACTTAACCTTTCAGAAGAGTCATACCTTAGGCAGATGTTTCATTTGAGCTTTTAGCTCTGTCTAATGCTTTACATTCTCACAGAAAACTTCTACTCTGAAGAGAATGTAATTCCTTAACCATTTCAAAACCAGTCTTTTGTTTCAGCGGGTTTTCAGAGTGATACAGTTACTGTTAAAAACAGCTGAAACTCTGCTGTGTGTTGAGCAGTGCACTGGAGCTTGAAAGGGCAGGTATCTGAGAAGAAGCCAGTGGACACCATGCTTGCTACTTTGAAAGGAAGTCAGTTGGAAGTGAAATCAGTGGGCCTACGCCTTATAACTTGGAAATACAAAATTACAGGCTTGCAAGAGAGAGGGGGTTTTAGAGATGATCTACTTTAATAGTTCTTATTACTTATCTTTGATTTCCAGAACTCTGAGAATCAGATAAAAGCTGCTCATTTTTTCCTCAGTATAATTTCCATGCTCGCATATAGTTTCCATTTAGCCTGACCTTCTAATACCCAGAGAGTAAGTAGCTCTGGAGGGTCACACACAAAGTTAGTAGGCAGATCTTAGATTACATTTCTTTTTTTCTCACAGAATAGAAATACTTCCATTGTCTCCCAAATAAAACAATTTCATGAAATAAGAGAGAGTATAGTGATAAGATACAATTTTCATCTCAGTATTCACGCTGGTTAGGAGGACAAAACTGAAAGTCAGACAGACCAAATTTCAAGCCCTGGCCACATTATTCAGTGGATACACAACTAGCAGAAAACAGGAACCTCTCTAAACTTGTTTCTTCATCTGTAAAAATTATCATAATAAGGCTTTTCCAAAGGATTATGGGTCTTGTGAATCAAATAAGATAATGAATATGCAAGATTTAGCATAAAGCTTCGCTCTTAGTATATGTTCAGTGATTTATTGTTATCTTGCTATTTGCATTATTTAACATATACCTTTAATCTTACATTTACTTATACCATTTCATAGTCTCAAGCAGAAATTTGTGCACCATAAAACAGGCCATATTCTAAACCTATTTATTTAATGACTATTTAATACACATTGTATTAAATTACAGGAAATGAAAAAGTATCTGTTTTCACTGAGTCAATAGGTATTTTCTTTTATTGTTCATTTTTGTTTGAAACCTGAACATTACCTAATATTGCTGCTATGCCTTTGACAGTATTTGAGTTCCAAGTAGGAAATGAATGCAAAAAACTTACTAGGTCATTTGATAAATACTTAGACATTATTTACCTTTACGTTATCCTACCAAGTGTAATATAAAGATGTACAATTATGAATAACATTTATATTTATAATTCTATAACTTTTAAGTCAGTGTTACAGCTGACTGGAATGTGTCCCTAGAGTGTATCATTGCAAACATACCAAACTGCCAAACATCTTTCATGAGTTGGCTAAAAATTAGCAAATAGTCAAGAATTGCCATAATCAGAAGAGTCATTTTTATATTTTTCATAAGGTTCCAAAGCATCTGTTGGTTGGGGCAATAAAACTATACCCAGTTCTAAATTCCTGCATCTATTCTTCAACAGATATCAGCAGTGACACATTTAGAAGAAGGTATGCAACATCCGCTTCAGCTTTGGCAAGGGAACGACTTGAAAAGCATTTAACAAATGAATCATGGCAGCCTCCAATAGAAAAAGAAGACAATGGCTTACAACCTCACAGGAAGAGACATTTTATTACAAGCTCAACATCCAAGCCTCGTGTGCCTGAGGAACACCATGTACAAAAGATCTTACACAAACAGAGATCAAAATATGATGACCCGTATAAACCATTAAAACAGAACAAGACTCAGTATTTCCAACCAAACAATACCCTATCCTGTAAATATGTGCTGTGTGATCAATTTCAGGATTATATGAAAGAAACAAAGCTAAATTGTAGCAAACCCTCAAAGTGTGAGGCAGAACAAATCCAAATTAATAGTGCTATAGAAAAATTCCTTAAGAATGAAGATAGCATAGATTTTTCAAAGTCATCAACAAAAATCCAGAAAACATACTCCCCAAAGAAGGTTAATATCTGGGATCCTGATTTAGTAGGAAAAGCATCAACCCACTGGCCACAGCAGCAAAGTCATGGAAACCAACTCATCAACTTGGATCTCAAGAAGTATAGCAACCGTAGGGACAAACACAAAGGAGGAAAATGGCTTGCTGACTCGCAGATTCTGAAAAAGGAGAGAAGCAAGCAACTGGATCTCAAAGGCAAAATTAAAAGACAAAATTTAAGGTTAAAATTAAATTTACACCCTTTCAGAAAAGTCAGAGTCCATCCAGAAAAATCCTTACCAGAGCTCCCAAGGAAACGTAAACAAGTGTCTGTACCTCATAAAAAATTACTTAAAACTTCTGAGCAAAAAACCAGAATAAACCCTGTATCTTCTACAGATTTCCCTCAACAGCCAGAGGGTAGCAGCTGTGTTAAATGCACTTCACAAAGGCTGATCTTCAAACATGCCTCAAAGCAGACACCACTGTACAAAAGGAGCAGTAAAAGTGCCCCTCCCCTCAGCACTAAGATGCTGTCTGCTGGCAAACAGAGCTCTCTAAAGGATGACTGTTACCTGTCTGGTCTTTTTCCGAATGCAAATGTACCCGTCTTGCCCCAGCCTACACCTGCAGAAACTGAGGCGAACCCCTCACACTCTCAGTTCTCAACTGAACCAGAGAAACGTGCAACTCAGCTCCTACCGGAAGCTCCTAGTTATTTGCCGGATACTTTGGAAAATGCAAGGAATTACATTTTACCACCTCATCCTCCCAGTGGGATAGGTGTCCACAGTGCAACAGAGCCCACTGAGCATGTAGAGGAAAACAAATCAAAGACCAGTGAACAAAACCATTTTTCTGTGTCTCCAAGAAGCCAAACACAAATACTAGATGTCTACAAAACTGGCACCTACAACAAAGCACACCCATTAGATCAAACTCCAGTTGCACAACATATGGGGCAAAACTCTGACCATAAACAAGTTGGAAATGAACCAGAAACATTAATGACAAAGCCTGAAAGATCACATCCACTTATGGAAAGTTCCTTTGTGGATCACAAAGGAAATAATGTAGGAACAAATCTGCCTGGCACAGAAATTTCTGATTCCTTGCACATTTCTTGGACACAGTCCAAGCACAACCTACCATTTATGATGACGAAGTCCATTCCAGACGAAAATACAATAGAGCTTCCCAAGGAAATCAAACCATCTCTTGGTGGTCAAGCCATCTGGCATCTAACCAACGGTAGCAAAAAAGGAATCGACCAAACAAATACTTTGCCCAGAGAGGACGGCACTGAAGACCTAGAGAGAAAAATACTAGAAACAGAAGAAGAAAATATACTCGATGAAAGCAAGATAACTTCTGGTATGTTAATTTGGACCACACAGATGACTTTAAAAGGCCCCCCAAAAGAAAAGCAGCCAACTTGGGAAAATGGAAGAAGCGAGAAACCTGCATTATGTGATTCAAGCTCTGCTGAGGAGGCTGTTACAGTTCAGGATTTGAGCATCACAAGCTCCCATGATGCCATAAATGGAATACTTCATCGTGAAATAGATCCTGAGGCTAAGAGCAGTATGCATAATTTGAAAGAAATTCAAAATATTCAACTAGATAAAGATAACAGTGCACATAGAGATGGCATAATGATAACAGAGACACATGACAAATAAAAGATATTCATTTTAAGGCACAAAATGAGGTATCTCTAATTCCTAACAAAATAAGTGAAGCTGAAAACTCTTCTCGCAGACCTGAACTCTACCCACCATCTGCTGAGTATGCTAATACATCACCTTTAGAAGCAGAACAGAGTGAATAAAATAACCCAAATAATCTTTTTCTACTTTAGCTCCCTTCAAAAAGGATAGACATTGCATAGCCTTTACATATATTTAAAATGCATTATTCTGGAGAATAAATTCTCAGTAATTCTTCATTATAAATAAAAAAGAAAGTCGCAAAAATCAAAGACAGGGCCACAGGATATATTTGATACAATTAACTGAACATACTTCTTGAAGGCATGAGAAAATGAGAAAGAAGATGTGTCTAGTGCTGGAAACATTTAAAAAGAGGGAGAGAAGTGCTCAAAGACATAAAGGATTAAATATGAAAAAGGACTTAAGTAGATTTACATTTGATGTTTATTTTATGGAAATTGCTATACTTATCTCAATTAGCGATAGTTCAATATTGCTGTTTTGCACAGATGATTATAAATTTATATTTGCGCCTGATCTGTTTTCCTAATTATTGTACAAAAATAAAAAATCAGCCTTGTTTGTTAATTGTAATCTAGCTAGTATGCATAGTGATATATTCATCCATTTGTGTTCTGTTGATAATTATCCTAGATCTTAAGTAGAAGTCCTTAAAACCTTTCATTTCTGGGAGGAAGAGAGGGAGAGAGAGAGAGAGAGAGAGGGAGAGAGAAAATTTGCTATCTAGGGATGTAGGTTTTGTAAAATCTGCAAAATCCTATAAATCCTCTAGGTGGAGATCTCAGCTTCATTCATTTTAGACAAAACAGAGGAATCAACACAATGGATCTTGAACAAAAGGAATTTTAAAGAGCTTTATTGCCAATTGTTATTAATTTAAGACTTTGGAAAACTAAACAGCCCACTAGCATGTAGCTTTCAAAATTTGATCTCTTGAGTTTAGCATGCCACTGTTTGGTGGGAGCAGTCCTCTTGTCCACAGGAATTAAATGTGCTTATAAACATTTGATTTAGAAGTGATGGGAGAATAAGCATCTTTCATTAAAAGTTACACTTATTTGGAAAATGTAAGTATACTTAAGCAATTCCTGTATTGATGACCTAGTAAAATGTTAAACCTTTCTTTTAGCATGCTTTTACAGGATAATTTCCTAGTTGAGGGAAACAGTTAAAAAGAAAACAAACTTTCTCTTCTATCTCTCATCTGTCTCTCTGTACTTATATCTACATTTGGCATTACAAAGCATAAAATATTACAAGAAAAATATACAAGAAAAATATTGCATATGCATCCCACCTATCTTCCTTACCTCTTCCTATTCAGGATTGCCAGCAAATGACATAACTTTCTCGTTTATAAATCCTTACTCTTCTTTCTCTTTCCTCACTAACATTCAGGACTCTCTGGCTTTGCACTTCCACTCCTGCCCCCACCATTTTTACTCGGCCTCTCTGCCTGAGCATACCTCTTATGCCATCTGTCTGCTTCTCTCGGTCCCACTTCATTCTGATAAGCACCTTTACTGAGAGAGGAGCCTCTATGCCAACTTCTTGCATGATGAGTTTATTCTAATTGACAGCTCCCTCAGCTCTACATATCAGGTTACTTTCTTTCCTGTATCCTTCCTTCTCCTTTCCCTATTTTTATTTTTAAAGCACTGCCTCTTCACTGCAGTGCTTAGCTTTGTTCTTTGTCCTCACTGCTAACAATATCCCTGGTATGTGGAGGCTTAATATTTCCTCCTGGTCACTATCTGACTCTCAGAATGCAGCAATGACAGTTCTCCTGGGCACTTTCCTCTTTTTCATTTCTGAAATCCAGTCTTTTACCTCCTTATGGTGTTTCCTTTGAAACAATTCTCGGATTTACCTTTGCCCCTGGATCTACATGGTAGGTAGTCAAGGTAGTCTCTGTGATAAACAACTGGGTTACTGTAAGAGCAGCCCAGCTAGCTGACCTGACTGCAGTATCTTCTGCTCCAGTTTGAATCCACTAGTTCTCTATCTTTACTGCGCACATCTTAATAGGGTGCTTGTTGAAATGTATGTTCTCCGGCTCCATCTCAGAGATTTTCATTCACTAGATCTAGGGTAGGCCCCAAGAAGGATTGTTATATGCACACTCCAGGGTAATTTGGAGCATGTAGTTGTCAGCCCACATATTAGTATACAATGCTTAGCTATTATAGTTAAAATTAGAAGATAACTCAGCACTTGTTTCTTTATAGTAACTACGAAGTCAATAAATTCTCTATGCCCACCTCAATTACATTTCCAGAAATTATTTTTATCATTCTCCTTCACTGCTTTAGAGACAACCATAAAATTTTGTATTAATTTCATGTCCAAATTCCCTACTCTGGTTTCCAAGGTTTTCCAGTATCTGATATGATCTGTCAGGACTCTTTCCCAGTCTCCCAATCACTTCTTCTCATCTGCAATACCCTGGGATTCTCACCATCCTCTAGGTGCTGTGTTGAAGTCTTGAAAATATTTTTGTTAGAGCTTATTTATGTCACAGATTGGGTTTTTCTGTGGCAAATTCATACATGCATGTAACATTTTGCTCATTTTCATGTGCATATTACGTGTTTGAGTCTCAACTAAGAAGACACCCATAGGAGAATATATTGTGCTTTGTGTGCAAGGAAAGAGGAAAAGATAAATATGAAAAAATGACTAGTCAAATTGATAACCTATGCAGTAAAGAACAGCAGAGCATAATGTTAGTGTCTTAGATTTAGAGATGGACCCATTTCCAATGGGACCTGAGATAGAGATTTAACCCTTCAGGGACCACAATGTTCAGTTACTGCTGAGCCCCTTTTTTCTTCTCTCCCAATAATTTGCAGAAGTTTTTTTTTTACTTGAAGAGTTTTACTCTCACAAATCTTTCATTCAGCAACCTCCCATTTATGGCTTTCCATCTCAGATCACTTCCGGGAAGACTTTTCTGACCTACACTATCTCTTTGTCTCCCAAATTGCTGGAACCCTTTAATATATATCCTCCTCGAATCTTGTTTCCTTTAATCTTGGCTTCTAGCTATAGAATCAGTCATATGTTTATTCAATTAATCTCCATATGACTATTAAACTTGCCGCTCCATGAAGAATATATCTCTTCTGAATCCCCCGTCCCTAACCTTGGACAGAGTATAATAGGAATTCAATAATTTGCTTACTGAAGGAAAAGAACAAATAGTCCATTGTTCCTTTTTTCATCATCACTTAGCCTACTAACATGATGAAGAACATTCTGGGGGATGTAATGACCACAGAAGCAGCTGAACTTCATAATCCTAGAGTGGATATTAAGCACAAGCCACCTAAACTGACTGAGAAGCCCAGCTATTGTCAGTCAGCTGGAGACTTTGCTTTCTTTCTATGATTTTTCTCCATCTTCTTCCTTAAACCTCATTGCTACATCCCAGGCCCTGTGCTGATAAATTTCAGTGGTTAACAATACAACTTCTCCATGAAGCGATTGATTTTGAATCATACGTGTATATATATTCTATCATATGTATGCCATATGTAGGCCTTATTTTAGTTTTTCTTTCTTAGTTTTGATCTTTTGCTTGAGACTTACATTCTATCTCCACAGTGCTTTTAGAACCTGACAGTGATTTGATTTTATCTCTGTATTAAAACTCCTTCATGTTCTTTAGCTATAATTAGTTAATAAAAGCAAAAGAGATTTCCTTGATTGTTATTTGATGTTAAACTTTTACGCAGCTCACTCCCTACATAGAGAAGGAAATTCTGGAGAAGGTAATTGGCATATTTATCCGCAGAGAATATGCCTGAAGTTCATTTTGAAATGTAAGGAAATGGTTCCTTAAATTATTTTAACTTTTAAGATAAAATTTTCTTTACATCAAAGTAAAGATGTGGAATCTGAGGCATTGCCAAGCAACAGAACAATTCATTTATTTCCTCGATAAATATTTTTAGCAGCCTGCTAGGGATAGTTGTAAACACTGGACTTAGAGCAATGGATAAGATAAAAAAAAATCTGCTTTTATAGAGCTAATGTTTGGGTAGTGACAATATTCTAAACAAATAAACATAAAACATATTCAACTGACTGGTTAGAGGAAGAGGTTATCTTCTGAGATACTCAATGCATAGCCCATTAAAGTCTTCATTTTTCTTCATAACAGTTTCTGCTTACACAAGGGGGTTGGTCTGGGCTTTGCCTTTAGGAAAAGAGAAATGTGCTTCCTTTTTTTAAATATCTGGACTAGAATTTATTTGGTTTCTTCTTATTGAGATACTTTTTTGAAGTAATAACAGTGCCGCTTTACCTACTGTTTGGTTGAAGAGAGACTAAGTGTCTCGGAACGTTCAGAAACAAGGATGTATGAGGAAAGGGCAATCATATTAGGAAGACTTGGACTGGACAACTAAAGACTGTCAGCCCTTTACAGATGAGGATCTCCAGTGTGAAGAAGACAAACTAATGCTCTGTGAAGAAGAAGAATTGATGAATGGATTCCAAAACACACGGATGTCAATCAATAAGAAAAATAGGTTGACAAATTCTTAGACACTGGAATGAACTGTGATACCAAGACAAGTTGTGGAGTCTCCTCTGCCACATTTGGAGAACACAGTAGATGTCAACTGGTGTGACACACATAAAAATTGTTTCTTGGATGCAAGTTGAGATTTCATTATGGCATTATATGAGTGATCCTTCTCTACTCTCAGATCTAGCACCATACTTAAAATGTTCTTTTTGCTGTTTACATATCCTATTCTACTTTTTAATTCATTCCTCCCATAACACAATCTCTCCATTTGTACTCAAAGTCTATGCTGTTAATCACATAACCAGACAGTCATATTCAGGTCTTCTGATTTCTGCTTGAGCCAGTGCCACCAAAGACCACTGGGGTCTCTGTTTGAAACCTGATACAAATCCGTCTTTTGCCAAATTTCTTCCTTTAGAAAATGACTAAGTGTGGCCCAATTGTAGTTAATAAAATTGCAGCTGACTTGAGCCCATGAGTCAGAGTCCTACCCTGCTGTCTCTTCTACTAATCAGGTGTGAGAAACATTTCAGAATCAGAAAGCAGCAGCAGATATGAGATACTCAGGCTGCTCAAGGCAGTTAGAAACTAAAGAGCAGAAGCCAAATCCATCTTCCTGCCTTGACAGTCTTAAAATTCACACTGAAAGTAGACTTCGGAGTTACACTATCTGTGACAGATTCTGAACACATTTTCTAAGAGGAAATGAAAATTCCTCACCTCGAGATATGCATTCCAACTTCGCATCAGCAGAGATGATATGTACTTGGGAATGCAGTAACCAATGGGAAGCCT